GGTTATTAGAAGCACTCTCATTCTGACAGCAGCCTCAGGGCTTTCACACAGGTATCAGTTCAGCACTGACAGATTAATGGATTCTCTAATATCTCTTTGACTGTCACATCAATCCAGCCGTTATTATAAAGCACTTTGGTTTTGTGAGGCGGCTTTTTCAAATTATTTTACGTGCACAACTGCTGCTCTGATGACACACTGGAAGCAGCTGGATAATAAGATTTTGTAATTATGCTGGATCTAAAACTGTTAAAGTGTTTGATTTCTGAAAGCAGGGCTGGAAGCTCTACGAAAAAAAATTCCTACAGCATGAGCGTGGATATGCTCATCTTTTATATCTAACGTTTATTACTTAATATGGCCAAAGCTTCTAACAGTGGGGTCAGAAGTTTTGGCAAAGGCACAAATCTTGTCTTTCATACAAACGTTATTTGTGGCGTGGTGGATATCAGCCTCTGAGCCAAATCCTGAATGATGGCACATTTCTAAGATTAAATCTCGGTGGGATTAAGAAATAGATCTGAGGAGATTCCTGGCCGTTGATCCAAAAAGCTGATTTGACCTTAGTTATCGCTTTGATTTCTGACGTGGTGCTCCATCATCCTGAAAAATGCACAGATTATCACCCCATTGCTCTTGGACCATTGGAAGAAGCTGATCTTTGAGCATGTTTTTCGTATGATCAGTCCTTTAAAAGCAAGCAGATAACCTGAAGCCCACAAAGGGTGATCGACTTGAAGCACTGATAACACAGAAATGGATTACCATCAATCAGGACTTGGGCCCGAACTGATTATTCACCAGTAAAAAAAAAAAAGCAAAGAATGCTTATGCTGAAAATAATCCAAGTAAAAACTGAAGTGACAAAGTGTACAAAACACAAAATGTGTGCCACTGCCAAAACATTTGGTCATGAGTTTAAAATTTCTGTATGTGCGGGGCCAGCCAATCAAAAGTTGTCTTGAACAGAGAAACTTGTTTTAGATGGAGGATAAACTGAGGGAAGTGGAAGCTAAATAAGGATTCATCTCAACTGCTAATTGTGTAAAGTTACTCTAGTAGAAGCAAAGAATGAAAATATGAGGCAAGGAAATGAACATAATGGGTCCCTGGAATTTGAAAAAGTGCAGCAGGCTTGGAAAATAATAACATACTAATAATGTAAGTAAGAGAAAACAGTTTTCCACAAATTATATAGTATATAGATAGTTTATATCATAGATCCACAGTTCTCATAACCTTAACTATGCCTTGCACAGAGCCCGGTATAAAGTGTATAAGGATTAATTTAACAGTGCACCATGCATCCAAGGGGTTAAATAAGTATTTAAAGATAAAATATGACACTATTAATGAGATGCTGAGTATGTTTAGGAGCTGGCAGCTGGTGGTTATGTTAAATTAAACAATCATATTCAAAAAATATGTAATACATTGACTTTTTCCTGGATTCACTGAGTGTGAAAATGAGTGCTTTTGTCCTAACCCAATCAGAAACATTTTTTTTTTTGCATGTTGTTCATCCACCCCGACCACCTCTTTACCTGTTTGACTCTCTATAGAAAACACAAAGTGTGATCCCGACAGCAAAATGAAACTAACAGACAAACTAGGATTTCTAGGAGCTGGAGCTGCAGGCATTTGGTTTTATAATAGTTGCAGTAACAACACCCATGTCATCAACCTAGATGGCGACTGAAGCTTAAATACAGCCAAACCTGAGCAAATGATTTTCACATTATGGAATATAACAGCTTAAAAGAGCAGAAAAAATGGTGATCAAACCAATTAAAGGCACATATTTGTACATACAGGCATGCATATAAACAAAATTTACATTATAAACATGCTTTTTAATGTGTACACTGATGAAAAAATGTTAAGACCCACCCAAGTGTTCATTAATAGGTTGTTATGGGTTGTTTTTCTTTTTTGGCTTAGAAGCAGGCCACCCTGTATTATACTCACTCCACATCGGTCCCATAAACTTAAAGTTCATGTTTTACACTAGAGGTAACTTATCTCCAATGATGCGCTTGGTTCCAAGTTTTCCTCTGGTAGCGTTTTAGTGCTCCCACCCTTGGTTCCGTTGAGAAGCAGTGGGACAGTCAGGGTGGCCCCGTTGGCGTCTTTCCCTTTCATATCCCCCATATTATCCCGCCTATCTGGGGAGGCTAGCTCTGTGACTCCAGGTGTCGCGCCTTTCTCTAAGAATAACGGCTGCGAGCTCTGCAGCTGGTAGCTGCTGTTTCCATTCTGGGCAATTCTGTATATCTCAGTCATTTCTGAAACCACCTCTTCATCATCATCCTCTTCATCCCTGATTGCTCGTCTCAGGCTCTCTCTGGGCATGAGCGCCCTCCTGCCCTCGTCCTGCTGCTGGTGCTCCAGGGGCTCGTGGTTCTCCACCTTCCTCGTGGAGCGGCAGAGGGCTTTCCGGAAACCCCGCTTGAAGTTGTCTGACAGGAAGCCGTAGACGATAGGGTTGGCGCAGCTGTTAGCATAACCGAGCACTACGACAAAGTAGTAAAGGCCCTGGTACTCTGGTGGCAGGGCCACCAATAAGTTGATGATGTTGAGGGCATAGAAAGGTAACCAGCAGAAAACAAACACAGCAACAACAATCACAACCATGCGTGTCACTTTCCGCTCCGACTTTCTCCGCTTGGTTGAGGTGGCGTGGACTTTCTTCCCCGAGCTGCGGATCTTGAAGACGATGAGCAGGTAGCAGAGGCAGATGATGAGAAGAGGGCAGAAGAATCCAACGGTGGAGGTGTAAATGATGAAAGCAGCCCTCCAGATGTTAGCCGGCTGGGGCCAGGCGATGTTACAGGTGCCTCCTGCTTTCTGGATGTTAGCAAAGATGACCACTGGCAGAACAACAAGGAATGACAGTGCCCACACGGTGCCATTCACCACTTTGGCCACCTGAGGGCGCCGCCACTTAGAAGACCGAATGGGGTGGACCACGGCGAGGTAGCGATCGATGCTCATTACGGTCAGGCAGAAGATGCTGGTGAACTGGTTGATGGAGTCGACAGTCATGACCAGTCGGCACATGAAGGAGCCGAAGGGCCATGACTGGAGCGTGTTCTGCACCGCCAGGAAAGGCAGGCCGAGCATGAAGAGTTCGTCGGCGATGGCCAGGTTGAGAATATAGATGTTTGTCACGGACTCTATCTTTGAGTAGTGCAGAACAATGTGAATCACTAAAGTGTTGCCGCCCAGGCCGATGATGCAAACAATTATGTAAATGAGTGGGATGAGGACCCCTGCTACGCTGGGACCCGAGAAGGCATCAGGGGCGGTGGAGTTGGTGGAGTTGAACAGCGTGTCGTTCAGATCGCTGTCGTTGAACATGAGCGGAAACAGTGGGAGACCCGGCGAGGGGCTCGCAAAGCTGCCGTTCTCCCACGTCTCAGCCGTCATCTCCAGGCCGGAATACGACGCGTCACCCATGTTGCTTTGTGATCTCAGCTCCCACCCATCTGTTCTGCTGAAGCAAAGAAAAATAAAATAAAGTCACTGAACTTCATAGCTGACATTTTTCAAGTTTCTTTCAGAAAGCAATGAAAAGAAATGGAAAAACTGTTTTTCAAGGACATGACAAAGGGTAACAGTACTTTTACTTTAATATTAAAGCTCTTCACACTCAGACTAAGAAGTAATCAATAATAAGAAATATTAACCTGAATATATATTTACCATGATGTACTATGATGGTTGAAGTGGTTAAAGTCTATACAATTTGTAACTTTGTATAAATTTACTGGGTCATTTTAAGAAATTTCATCAACAATTTTTTAAAACACAAAACAGTATGCTTGTTAATAGATAAGTGTAACACTAAAGAATTTACTATTTGATTGAAAATGATGCTCACAAGGTATCCCAAGCTATTTATTATTTGTGTGTACTGAATATCATTTTTAATATTTTATATATATATATAATATTATTTTTTCTAATTATAAGCTTGGTCTGATTTTTTAAAATACTGCTATAGTTGTACTTTCAGCAACTTCCTTATTTTATGAAGCCGAGGTACTGAGGTTGGACTTAGAGGCATAAACCTTCAGATGCCCATCTCATCCTGGTTTAAAACTGGGGATTCTTTGCATGTAAAACACACATTAACCACATGAAGACAGTATTTGTTTTTCTTGGTATAACTCCTATATTTCTGTTCTGTCACCAAATAGTTTGTTGCCATTCAGGCCACTAAACATTATTTTTTGCTATTTGCAGGTTTAATAACCTAAAGCCGGCCTTTCACTTAATGACTTTTCGATTTCACAGATGCAATAAAATCCATCCAGTCTTCCAATAAACTCATTGGGGTTTCCATTGTTGTAAAAACAATGGAAACAATTGATTGCTTGATGCTCATGGGACCCGACTCCAGCAGAGCTGTTTAAACCCCTCTTTTTCTTGTCTTAATGTTATAGCGTTATGTCTCAACTTGTAAATGGTGAATTTCTTTAATGTGAATGTGGTATGTGTTGACATGTCCACAGTCTGTGGTGGCTTCTCTTCTTCATTTAGGTTTTTTGCTTTTCTTTTGTGTACACAAAGGCAGCTGTGGCCCAAAGCTCCTGTTCAACACGTTTAACCCCTCGGCCATAAAAGGTGGGTGGGCGGGGTTGGTAGTGTGGACACCCAAGTTTGTGAATAACTCGGGAACGAGGTGTTGTAGGATTTTGAAATTCATACCATAGGTGCAGCTACTAAACATCTTGGACGACTTTGAATCTCAGTGACCTTGAACTCAAGGTCAAGATAAGAAGTCAAGCTTTCAGAAAATCACCTTGGGTTTTCAAACTTAAATGTCCACCTACTAGGAGGAGACAAAAGGTCTCCCAATTTAGTTGTCCAATACATTTAAATAGTAGTTATGTTGTAATTTTGCTAATGAGAAATAAAACATATTTAGGAAACATCTATCTGGAATTATAAAACTTGTGGTAAGATGAAGTGTCTGTATTCTGAGCACAGATTATTAGATATAGTATTACAATGCATTTGTAAATTAGGAGTTGGGGTATTTTATAAAATCAAGCTTTGCAAGTCACTTTTTCACTCCCAAAAAGTGTTGTTAGCCATAATAAGCTAGGCTGTTACATGAAGAGTTAGCAGAGATGTTTCTCAGAGGGTGAGCTGCAAAAAAGAAAAGCTGTAGATAAAATAACAAAAATGGGATAGAAATGGATATGAGATAATGACTCACACAGCAAATAGATAAAGATGCTTGTTTGCAGCATGATTTCACCATGCCATCTATATTTGGTTCTTTTGATAAAGCAGGTAAATTAAACACAGGATATTCTCACACGTGGAAAAAGCAGATAATTGAGATTTCATTAGCAACCCAGCAGCACTCTAGTTAATGTGAACTGGGAACACGCATGGAGGAGAGTCGACTGGAAGACGTAGGGGGGGTGAGACTGTGTCATGCTGACCAAACACTGAAGGGAAATAACAGCTTCTACGCTCACCCACACAATCTCTTTCATTTTTAAATGAAGCATGTGAGAAAGAATGAGTATCTGGCATGCTAGAGAAGGTCGTGTTGCTCTGCTTATTGGTCACTGCTGTCCAAACTGAAATGACATATTGTCAAAAATGTTGTACAAGTTGTAGACTGAGAAGACTTTATCTATTAACAGTTGAAGCATTCTGTTGTTTTCAGTGACCTGAAACTAGGATAGCTGTACTGAGGTCCAAGAGCAAGAAAAGGTCTGTTGTCGTAAAGAGTTTAACACTACAATTTCAATAGTAAACATAAACATCGCCCCCTGGTGGCAAATAAATACAGCAATTTAAGGTACATCCGCACTGGTGTCACTTTTCAGCTACATCCATTTTTTATATACAGTTTATGGTACATTGTGATGGACTGAGTTGAAAAAGCAGGAGTCACAGGAATTATTAGAAAACTAGGGTTTCCATTTATTTAACCTCCCAAAAATTATATTTACAAAAGTAATAAATGTTCAGCTCATAAAAGAGGTCAAAGAAACAAAACTCAACAAACCAAATGACTGCCCAAACAAACATAACTGACCTAAACATGAAATGACACACAAGGGTACATACAATGCCTGATCAGACCACTATGAACACGAGGGGTAACTAAACAAAACACCAAAAAATGCAGTAGATTCTGGTTCGTTAATAAACTAAACACCAAAGAAGGAAATCAAAACTACTAAATCCTAAACTCACATACTGAATTAAGTACAAATACTTTGTTTTTAATTAAAGAAAATACACATTCTCCCCTTCAGTAGGAAGTGGTGGTGTGGTCCAATTATCCCTCTTTGTATTTAATGGTTTCAAACTCTGTCCACCACCTTTTGTCTGGCAACTCCCAGGGATCATGGCAGGTAAAAAGTAAAAGAAACAAAGGTTAGTCAAAAATAAAAGTAATGAACTGGTATGAATACCTAAGTAAACTAAATGTACGTGCTTACAAATAGAACAAATGTATCCAAACCAATTAATAAAGTTATTGGAAACTAAAGTGTGTTATTGTGTTCAAATGAAGAAATGAAAATACACAAGTTACCGACTTTAGAGTGTGGCTATGGGTTTGGCCATCACATACATGGTATGGTGAATAATAACGGCTTTAACTTGAAAACAAATGACAGCCTTAATGTTACGCCTGAACTTCAGATCACAGGATTTTTAAACATTAAGGCTTTCTAAAAACCTGCAGAAACCCTGATCAGAGAAATTAGTGCTCGCTCACAGCAAAAACTAACACAACATCTGTATTTAGTAATAACTTTTGTTTTAAGCTGTAACAAACCAACAAACAGAAGGCTTAAGAATCTTTTTCGTCTTCTAAAATAACTGATAAGTGGGAATAACAAATACAGAAGAGCCTGTGAAAAACAACCTTACTGAGCTTCAAAAGTTTCGAGGGTCTCTACACTCATGCTTTGTTCTGCAGTACTTAACATCAACTGCACGATGCCAGTTCTCGATTGAACTGCATTTAGTGGCCAATCATAACGGGAATCTCCATATGCCTCCATTCTAGCTCAAGATAACAAAAAAGAAAGCAGCTCGTCATCTCATTCGTTAATTTGAATGAAGGGAAGAATTTATAAGATCGTTTTTACCAGCTCCAGCCTTTGCCTGTCATTGACAGACACAGAACTTTATTGTTTTTTTACTATTAGAATTATAACTACAAAAATAAAAGCAATTTAAGTTTAATAAGTTTCGATGAAAGCCATTTTTTTCTGAAATAACCACACAGAAACTATTTTTGTGTGTTGAATGACTTTTTTAGCCCACTTCCACTTAGGGTTAGTTGCCTTGAAACAGCACTAAACATGCCGGAAAGTGTGTCTACTGGAGTGTGCAGACTGGAATTTGGTCATGTTGTATCTATTTTACACAGTCTGTGTGTAAAATAGACACATCATTATTCTGGATGATTTCCTGGCCTGGCTTGCTGTTTCCTGAATTAAATAACTTTTGTCCAAAACATGAGCTATTTTTAAACCATTGAAACATCCATCCATTCTCTTCCACTTCTCCTTGTAAGGCTCAATGTTGGGGGCGGGGGCTGGAACCCAGCTGTCTTAGGGCGAGAGGCAGGGTACACCCTGGACAGGGCACCAGTCTGTTACAGGGCTAATGACAATCGTGGCTCAAGAGTTGGCAGTTTGTCTTGTAATCGGAAGGTGTGTGAATGTGAGAGTGAATGAATAGTGGAATTGTAAAGCGCTTTGAGGGTCTCGAAAAGCGCTATATACATACAATCCATTCATTATAATACATGGAGAAAGACAACCATTCACACCTATGTGAATTTAGAGTTACCAATTAACCTAACCCCACTAAGTGCATGTCTTCGGAATGTGGGAGGAACCCACGCACACACGGAGAGAACACGCAAACTCCACAGAATCGAACTCAGGACTTTCTTGCTGTGAGGCAACAGTGCTAACCATCGTGCAACTGAGCTGGCCCACCATTTAAACAAATATATCTGTAACATTTTTTAACACAATGTTGTAGACTAATGGAGATGACGTAGCTCACCTACAAAGACCTTAAGTTAACTCTTTAATAAGTACACAGCAGTACAGCCTATTCAGTGTATTCAGTGTCAGAATGTGTCAGAATAAAAGGATGAATTTTCCTTCTCGAAATCGCTTTGTTCTTCTTCTTCTTTTTTTAACTTACAGAACATCTAATGTGTGAACAGCAGAGCCCTGAGCGTATCCAAGAGTTCATCTAACAAACTGACTGAAAGCTTATTGTTGTGCCAAGGCGGCAGCTGCAGACTCAATAAAAAAGGATTTCAGTCTCTTTAGTTGAATTTAAGACACGTGAGGAAAAATGCAAAGTGCAAAACACGAAAACAAAAGCAGCCAATCTACTGTTTACCTCTTTGCGAGGCCGAGTAGTTTCTTGGTTTTGTCACATTAATCATTTTTCAATATCTCCAGTTCCTCGTGATTACGCACATTTCAC